CCCCCGGATAAAATTCTTCTATGTAGTTCCCCCCCCCCTCCTTCACACTTACATGTTTCAGATCAAATAAAACAAATAAAAGTTCGAGTAAGTGCTAAAAGAAATTTTCAATAATAATTGCATCAAGAGAAAAATTCTACCCTATCATAATTGGCCCAATGTGAAAAAGTATTTGTCCCCTTACACCTAATGACTTAGTAGCACCAACCTCCATAAAGTGTTTGCAATAACTAGCTAGACCACGTGACTTTTTGTTGCTGTGGAGGTTCACTGTTGTTTTCAAAAACGTCTTATTTCTGTCATAATCAGTAAGTATTTGTACTTTTAGGTTCTCACTTTATTCTTTGAGTTTGGCAATAATTGTTCATTGTTAAATTTTGAACTTATTTATTTGTATTCAATTTCTTAGTTTTTTTTCTTACACTCTTTTGGTATTGCTTTATGCTTACATTCTTGTATTAGTATTTAGTTTTTGATTAGTTTGATCCTATTGCATGAATTCAACAATGAAACATGCAAAGAGGTTAATCCTTTTACATTGTGCTTTATAGCATTTATGATAACAGTTTACTATGGTTAAGTTTTTGGATATTTGATGAGATTAGCCTTTTCTACCCTCCTTGATTTTTAGGCCAGATATATATATATATATATAAAAAAGATGTCTGTGTGATTCTTGTATGAAAAAACAACTTAGGTTAATGAACTCTGTTGGAGAGTCAAATTTTAAAACTGTTGTCACTATAACGAGATGTTATAAAAAATTCTTAAAGTGTTATTTTAATTGGATTTTGTCTCATTTCTTGCATTAGATGGTTACTTGTGTGCTGATGGTCAGCCACCAGGCAGCAAGGACTATGAAGAGCACCAGTATGTAAATACACAAAGTTTGGAAAACCTTGAATCTTTTACACATGGAGCAGATGGACATAAAGGGGCTAGACCACATGACAGTCCCAAAAAGGACCTCTTTGATATGAGTGAGTGTTGAGATTTACTCTAGACACGCCTAAGGAAGTGGAAAAACGGAAGCAGAACAGCTGAACCGAATAACTAAACCTCTTGTGCCTCTGCAGGGCCCTTCGAGGATGCCCTAAAGCTCCACGAGGCATGTGGAGGAGCTGTTGGCTCCGGCGTATTAGTGGGTTCTGGTTCTCAGGTTGGAGGTGTTCGAAACTTAGAGGATCAGTGGCCCAGCCCGCCGAGACGCAGAGCCCCCGTGGCTCCGAACGAGGAGCAACTGCGCAGGGAAACGTGGTACCACAGTCGCATGAGCCGGAGAGACGCAGAGAAACTCCTGGTTCGAGACGGGGACTTCCTGGTCCGTGAGAGCACCACCAACCCTGGCCAGTACGTGCTAACAGGCATGCACTGTGGCCTGCCCAAACACCTGCTGCTAGTGGACCCGGAAGGAGTGGTGAGTCTGTGTCAACTCACACCAGAAAAAAATAAAGCAATTTGTCTGTCTTTTTTGACACCAAAATTTTGCTTGCGTAATGCAAAACTTGTTTATCCCCGTACAGGTCCGAACTAAAGACATGTTGTTTGAGAGTATAAGCCACCTCATAGCGTACCACTTGAAGAACGAGCTGCCAATTGTTGCAGCGGAAAGTGAGCTTCATCTCAAGCAAGCTGTCCGGAGGAAACAGTGAACCACCCGGGTTGTTGTGAGATGGTAAGATGCAGCGTGCGTTGATTTTAAAAGTGGAGATCATTATTTGAACGGTTTTACATGCAAATATTAAAAGTTGTTTGCAGCTTGACACTCTAAATGTTTTACCAGTCAGAGCAGTTGTTGCTTTCCATGTGGTAAAATAAATAAAAAGATTACAGATTAAAAATGTAATCATTTCTGTGTTGAAAAAGAAGTTATTACCACTGAAGATTTTTAACAACCACAAACTTTGATAGAAGTTTTAAATGATGGAGCCACACTAAGTCACCTATAATTTTTAAGCTTAAGAAAATAATGCATGTTTTTTTTTAAACTTTACACTGTAGCTTTACACTCAGTCAATTTCAGTGGAGCGTATAGCTGTGATCCAGAAATTTCCGGTTTTGCCTCAGATTCTAAGTGATGCTTAGTTGTGGACATTAATTGTGCCATTCCAATAAATATGCTTTAGTCTAAATATTTTCATTGTGGTTCTAGTTCCTTATCCTGCTGGGCTTGGAAAATTAACCTCTGCTTCAGTCTCAAATCTTTTGCATATTTTGTTTCCCTGATTTTAATTAAAAAAAAAAAAAAAAAAAAAAGAAGAAGAAGAAGCAGCTGACAACCAATTATCCTTTTCCCACATCACATTTTGTTGGTATAAAACTTTTAAAAGACACTGTAGCCACTAAAGGACTATGGAGGTTTCATATCAGTGTGTGTCGTGATATATAAGTTGCAGTTTACGTATATGTTATATTAAATGGAAATATATTTGATTCACACAATACGTTATTCTTCAGTAACCATAATCTGTTTCTCTCCGTCATTTTTCGCAGCTGAATTCGTCTGGACTCTGGGAAACATTTGTCCTAAGAACTGAATAATGATTTTTTCATCCTGAAAGAAGACTTCTACTTTTTTTGCCTTGAACATACTTCCCATGAAAGTGCAGAATCAAGTCAAGCTCCTTCTTTCCTCTGGCTGTCGGGCTAAACCAAATGTTTCATTGTACGTCATAAACTCCTCGACGTGCGGACCAGAATCCAGAATGCCACATCATTTTAAACGTAAAAAAAAAATAAATAAATAAGTGCTTCCAGCAATCCACGACCACATTGTTACCGGACATTCTTTCTGCCAACAATGAACATGACCAGAGGAAAAACCGATTATCTGTCACAGATATAAACTCGAGACGTGTCAGCCTTCAGATTGAGAAGCAAATTTCTTCAAGTATGCAGGAAGTGACTGCAGGTTTGCGTGTCTGAGACGCAACAGAAGGCCGTCTCTCTCTCTCTCTTTGGGATGCAACGACTTGCTATTTCTACATCGGTCTCCAGTGTCCGAGAAGGCACAAAGGACAAACACTGATTCGGTGTACGAGCTGCACACGCTTATGTGCTTTACATTTTGCCACAGTATCAGCAAAAACGTGAAGCTTTTCTACATTTTCATCAATTAACATATGTGGTCTTGTTTGCTGTTTGTAAGGAGCTGATCGCAGTACAATGAACTTTCACGAGCCTGTGACCGAGCAGACTTTACTCTGCGATGAATCCTGAGTCAAAGCTAACGTCCTCATTTCTAACTAACTGTGCAGGTACATCCCAATGAATTGGAATATCATAAATAGTTTAAGTCTGTAATACAATTAAGAGTGAAATTCATATATTCTATAGATACATCATGACACACAGTGGACATCTCCTAAGCATTTATTTATCTTAATCTTATTGATTAATGAGATATGTTTCCAAGAAAAAAATCTAAATATTAAGATTTTTTTTTTTTTACTATTTAATTACAACCAAGACAGAAGCTGGCTGTTCATAAAGTGCTGAAAGTTCATAAAGGGCTGTTCAGCGAAGGTGACACACGGGTGAATGACAGGACGTTGAATATGACTCGTATTCAAGTTGCTCCTGCAACAGAGACACACGAAGCGTCACACTAAAGAGAAAAGGCACTGGACTGTCGCTCAGTGGTCCAAAGTCATAATTTTAGATGAAAGTAGATTTTTTTTATTTTCATTTGAAAGTGTAGGTCCCAGAGTCTGGAGGAAGAGTGAAGGATACACAGCCATCTGCTGGTGTTGGTCCGCCGTGTTCTTTCAAGTTCAAAATCAACGCAGCCATCTGTCTATCAGGGAATTTCAGCGCAATTCATTCTTCCCTCTACTTACAAGAAGTAAGGAGATGCTGATTTCATTTTTCAAGAGAACTTGGCGACTGCCTAATACTGCCAAAAGTACCAATGTCTGCTTTAATGACCTTGGTAACACTTTGCTTAATTGGGCAGACAACTGTCCTTACCTTAACCTCAGACAGAGGTTACTTTTTTGAATTGAATAACTAAATTAAAGTTTTAATTCCATTATTTGTTGAGCGGTACCTGCATGTGTTTTTCCCAGTGCCTTAATAACTACTACACTGGCAGGCATTTGTCTCAGTGTATATAGTGTGCAGTTCTCCACTCATTGCAAAAAGACTACATTTTCTTGTCATGCCAATGAAAAAGATAAACAAGGTTCAGGATAATTAAGCTGTTATATTTGTAAACAGTGATGTAAGCTGCTCCCGTTTTCTGCTAGATAATCACAGCTGTTTTTGTTATCAATCTCTTTTGTGAGATCCTCAGAAAAGATGTCCTTTCCTTTCGCCGACCGCTCTCCTCTGCAGTGATTGGACGTAAAATAGCGATAAGGATGTGCAATCCCTCCGTTTGTCCCGGCTCAGGAAAATTCAGTACTTTGCTGACCATGTTTTGTGTCCACATCTCTGTATTTAAGCTAAACAGGTTTGTGTTGTTTCTTCAGGGCACACCAGGAAGTGGCTCATTACATCTGTGTCACTGTAGTACTTTTGGATTGTATTTTTTTCCTTCTGTGTATCAAGGACAGGTCAATTCTTTTGATGAGAATGTGAATATTTTGTTAATGCTTCCCCCCTGCCCCCTTTTGCTTTCTCAGGAATTTCTCCATTTTCCCCCCCCTTCTTCACTGTTATGTTTAGTCAATAAAATCAATTATGAAAGGGTACAGATAAAATAGTGTGTTGTTAATTGTGACTGCTTAACTTTCTCCATTGACAGAACCTTACCCCCACTTACTAGCATCAGTAAAAATATTATCTATAGGGGAATAGTCAAATATTGCTTTTTATTGTGTCTTGACTTATGGAGACCAAATGATGTTTTACAAAATATTATTACTGGGAAAATTAACTGGTTCCAAACCACTGACTGTGAAAATCAATTATTTTAATCTACTCAAATAAGACTGTGTTTTTATCACTTTTAAAGAGAAATTATACTACTGAGTTAAAAGATTAATTGTTTTTTCCCCCCTAGTTTTAGATCAATTAAAAATAAATGGTTGTCATTTCATACCATCTTAACAAACGCAGAGGCAAATATTTTTGCCAAATCTACAGACAGCATTTTGCAAGTTATACCACTACTCTTCAAATAGATTAATGTATGAACTTTGACACGGCCATTCAAACACCATGGCCAGGTAGCTGAAAGGTGGAGCTCGACCTCTAAAGCTTTTGACTAAAATGTGAAAAATAATCACAAGGGAGAGCAATTGTTTTCCTTTTTATTATAACAACTTTATGTAAAATCAGTAGACTTGTCACACGGTCAGTGAAATCAAAATACCCACTCTGTATCTACATATCTCCCATCATTAGCTACTTACAAATAAAAAAAACAGAGGCACTCCCTATTCAATTCTCTTGGATATTACTAATCGGGGAAGAATTAGGGTTGTTGTTTGAGGTTCGTAATACACACATGCAGCGATGTCGGACCGCGGATTGGCTGTGTTTGGCATTCTAACTGAGGTCTTATCTTGGTCCTATAGGTTAGAGTGATGGAGCTTTACATGTGTGGTGCCAGTTGCAGAGACTTCAGTGTCCCTGCTGTGACATCCTCAGGATCTGAAGCAGCAGGCATTGTACCTCTTCATCCATGCGACCCTGTTGAGCAAAGTGCCAAAGCCCGTTACCAGGGAAGGATGATGCTGTAAATCTCTGGTCTAATTGCAGCAGCATCAAACTATTACATGAGCACTGATCATTTCTGAATTTCTTCTGCATTGGGGACTTTAACTGAACTCTTTCAGACACTGGCCAACCTACCAATATTTGTTAGTTAAAAACTACAAGCTAGGTCAACTCAGGTAACTTTAAGTTCTCCTACCTTCAACAGTATAAGGCTAATCAACAGATTAAGGTGATTTCCTCCATGAGTCTCTCATGACATTTTTTTAGTACGTATATTTATCTGACCAAATTGTAATTAAACAAGCCGAGTCACTCATAATCTACTTTGTTCTCCATTTTTTTTTGTGCAGTACAAACATAATTTGATTATCTCAGGAATCAAACCAAATATGAATGCTTTGCATGAAAGAACCACATAAAACAAACCACATATACTCAATTAACCACATGTAACACACACTTAACAATGAGACAGTTTTACATTTACTTTGTGCATGTAGATGTATTCTTAACTGACCTGTACAGCTGCTAGTAAATGTGAGCGGTACACAGCCACCACCTGTTTATGCTTTCTCTCCCAGTCCTGGAAAAAAGATCACTTCAGAGTTAAGAGCCAGAGTATCTGATCCTCAATGTACTGATTGGAGATATTCTGATCTGATGCAACCCAAGTATTAAATTGGGTCTATTTTTACTTGTCTGTACTGGAGTACTTGACTAAGCTCAATGTCTTGATCCAGGTTGTTGGTGTATCATCAGTGCTATTACGTCTGCCACACCCCTCACAATCTATATAGCAATTTGTGCCTTAATGCCCAGGCATGTTATTTTGCTGACCCAACAAGTCTGGGTTTTAAGTCAAAAGCCCTAAAAGGGCGTGATCTCACCTGAGAGCAATTTACATTTTCCCACATTCAAAACAAAGTGGTAATGTTATACGCAAAGAGAACTGTTTTTTTTTTTTTTTTCTACGTTTGAGTATAACTAGAACAGCACTAAAATATGAGTTAATTTATCAATAAGTCTTTTCAGGATTAGCTTAGCTCTCCAGCAAACTCCTTTGCGTGAAAAACATTATCAGCAGAAGCACGAAGTGTTTATTGAAGAACAATATTTCTCACCTAGATTAGACATGCACTATTCTGTCAAAGGTAATCCATGACCTGCCTATACACACATAGGAGCTTCAATGAAATCCAATTCTTAATCTGTGGGATTTATTATGATGTTGGTCCCACCCTTTGCAGCTTCTTTGTCAAGGTTTTACTCATTTCTCACAGTTCTTCCAGAAGTGCATTTGTGAAGTCAGACTGATGTTGGATGAAAAAGCATTCATTGTAAAGGAATGCTGTTCTCCTGCGCCCTACTGGCTTATCCGTGTTCTTGTTGCTGTTGCTTTATGAACTGGTGTTTTTTCTTGTTAAAACATGAAGGCATCATCCCCAAACTGTTCTGACAAAGTTATGAGCATGCAACTACCCAAAATGTCTTTGCAACAAGAGGTAATTCAGTCTGAACTAAGGGATTGAGTTCAACTCCTAAAATCATTCCCACACCATAATTCTCTCTGCACCTAACTTTACGCCTGACAGAATGCAGTGAGGTAAGTGCAGTTTTCCTGACAGCTACTGCATCCATATTTATAGTGCGGCTTCGGCCCACTGCCTTCCTATGCAAGTGAATTAGCTGTCTGCGTTTTTTACGTCTGATAGAAGCACCTGGATGCGATCATAGTGTGTGGAGACCGAATACCTCTGGCATTACTATATGCTGAGGAACAACAGACCTGTCCTGCACAAACTTCTGCTGAAACAAAACTGTTATCATGCGTATACTTTGGATTAATTTGTGTGCAAAAAATATTTTGATTTATCAATACATCCCTAAAACAAATATTTATGGTATTCATATTTTTCCACATTAAACTACCTCTGTCACGTTTTTGCTCACCTGCAGCTGTTGGGTCAGTATGCCAATCCTGTTCTGCAGCGCCACCTGCTGGCCTGGATTGCCATGTTGCGTGGAAGAGGACGAGGGAGGGGATGGGCTTGCGAAAGGAGGGGAGAGAGCTCCCAGAGCCTCTTTGAGTCGGAAGACTTCTTTAGAAAGATCTGTTATCTAACCAAATGTCAGACAAGACGGGATGAAGAAGTTTGCCATCTCGAAACCTCAAACGACGCTTGTTGTTGGTAAACCTGGAGCTGTACTCTGTTACCTTACGGTCCTTCTCTTTGACTAGACCCTGGGACTCTTGGATGTCTTTGTGGAGCTCCTGGATGTGGCTGGACTGGGACTGTAGCTCGGAGAGCTGCTTCTGCACCGTCACCAGCTGGGATTCTGCCGCCTGCCTTTCACTTTTGTGAAATAGCGCCTCCCTCTGCACCTGGAATACCTAAACCAGATTGACAACAAATGTTATATGAAGCAAAATTATTGTCAACAGTCACCAGTCTAAACATTTGGACTTTCTGATTACAGTTCTGATTGCAGTTTCACCTTCACAAGCCAAAGATATCAATGTACAGCTGAGATTTTGGTTACATTATGTCACAATACAACCACAAACTTTAATGTATATTATCCTGACAGTCTATGTTGAAAGACCAACACAAAGCAGTGCATATTAGTAAATGGTATGTTAAGGATGTAGAGTTTTATTTCTACAAAAATTAGTATTTGTAGCATGACTGTATAGTATGTACATTAATGCATATCCATACGTAAAACCCCTTCAGTCTAACTCTGTACAATTACCTTTCACTGCAAGTCTCATTACATGGCAACAATGATACGCAACGAAGAGGAAAAGCAACAGATGAATAATGTAAAGGGTAGACGGAGCCCCCAAAGGAAGCACGGCTCAGTGCGTCGTAGAAACAATCACATCTACTTTGGCTTTAGAGGCCACTGAAGAGGACTGATGACAGACCAGGGAACATGCTGGACTAACCTCCGTGCATGTCTTCTCGTGTTTCCTGGTGAGGTCGTTGAACCGTGCTGTGGTGGCGTTGATCTCCGCCTGCAGAGAGAGGCGCAGCGCCTCGTGGTCTTCCTTGGAGATCAGGCCCTGTTGTGCAGCCTTCTGGGACTTCAGCTCTCTCAGCTCTGTCTCTTTCTCACTGAGAGCCTCCTGCGCCGCTGCTGCACTGCTCTCACTGGCCTGCAGGGCGTGCTGTAGCTCTTCCTTTCAAACAAGGAAGCACAGGTTAGCTCTCATAGTCTTCACAAATCTGTCCAGGGGAAATTTGGCTATTATAAACAAACTGAAGCAAAAACGGGAAAAAAAATTGTAGGATTTACTTGCATTGCTTTTTTTTTATTGCTTCCTTCTCTGCACTGACCTTGACCTTCTCATGTTCCTCTTTGGAAATGGCGTCTTGTTTGCTCTGCAGTTCTGCCTGGAGTTTAGCTGCATGCTCCTCAGCTTGAGCTCTTAATGTTTTCTCCTCTTGGAGCTCCTGCAGAGTTTGAGCAAGCTGCTCCGACACGGCAGACAGTGCCTCTTTATGCTTTGAAAGTGGCACCGCGTCTTTCAGCTGCAGGGCGTCCTGCGCACGGCCCTCCCGCTCGGCACACAGGCAGTCCAGAGCCTGGGCTGCTTCCTGCCTTGCCACCTCCAGTTCCTCCTTCATTGCTGCCAAAGTTTGCCTGGATCGATCTGACCAGACACAGTAGGAAGACAAGGGAAGCTAAATTGTCAATAAACACAAATGTATCCAATCCAGAAAAGCAAGCCAACCTGATATGATGGGGGGCTCTGAGCTCTCTGAATGGCCCTCCTCCTCCTCCTCTTCCTCTTCCTCTTCATCTCCAGGTCGAGGAGTTCTGAGTCTCTCCAGCTCCAGGAGGGCATCATTGAGACGTCGAGCCACGTCTGCCCTCTCCCTGGCAAGTTGCTCGCACTGGAGTCCGAGGGTCACCTGGACCTCGTCTAGCTCTGAACGGGGCACGCACTTCCTCAGCTCTCCCTCCAATTCAGCCAAGCGCTCCTGAAGGCGCCGGACCCGGTCCCCATCTCCCGCCGCTGCTTCCTCTTTCCCCGAAGTCCGGCTCTCCGCCAGGGCTGCCTCCAGTTCGACAACTCTGTCACGAAGGGACTTCACGCTCTCCACCTCACCTCTTTTGTTTTCTCCTTCTTCCCTGAGCACAGACTCTCTCTGAGCAGCCTGGAGTTCCTTCACTTTCTCTGTCAGCTGTTTGATTGTGTCATTGTCCCGGCTGCTCTGACCCTCCGCCTCGCCCTGTCGCTCTGCGAGCTGCTCCTCCAATTCCGTCACCCTGGCTCTCAGCTGCTGCGCCTCCTGGCTCGCACCTTCTTCTCCCTCCGCAGCCCCGGCAGCTGCTGCGCTAACGTTTCCTTCAGCGCACTCCACAGAAAGCACCCCAAGACGCATCTGCTCTTTTAGCTCCTCCAGCTCGGACTGGGAGGAGGCCAGCTGCTCTTCTAGACCACGCAGCTTTTCTTCCAGAGCTCCTGTGCTCTCTGGATCTCCACCTCCATTCTGAGAGCTGCCTTTGCTTCTGCATGACAACAAAGTGACGTCAACACAGGCAACTTCTCCGCAAACAAGATCAAAAGTCAGTGTCTAGCCATGAATTTTTTTTTTGTACTAGTAAACCTAATTTATTATTACAACAAAGAGGACAATTTTAATATAAATTGTTGCTTTAACAATCTCGCACAAGTGGTTTAGGATAAAAAGAAAACCATGGTGCTATAAATCTACATAGAACTAAATATATGACTTCTTTTTTGAATAAAGGACCTTTAAAGAAAAAAAACCTACTGGGATTTTGAAAGAGATATTATTGTGCTGATCTAAAAATAGACGATTCATGGCTAAATGAAGCGCAGAAGCTGCGCTGAGATGCTTGTGGTGTATAAATAAAGTCAGCTCACTGCTCGTCAGAAACGCTGTAGGCTTCCAGTGAAGCCTGGGCCTGAGAGAAGCGCTCCTGAAGAGCTTCAAACTCCTTCCTCAAAGTCTCATACTGAGTCACGGGCACCGAGTCTGAGCTGGTCGTCTGCATGTCCGTGTCGTCCTTCTCGAACATCTCCAGCATCTGTAAACAATGCAAAAAGGATCACAGTCGAATAAGATGAGTTAAATCTTATAGGAACACTTTTTTTTTTCTTCCTTCTTTGTGGATTTTATATTTACACTGTAAAAAAAAAAAAAAAAAACTTTCAGGAGCTGACTTTTGTTTGCTCAAGCGACTAATAATGTGTGTCTAATATTGCACACATATGAAAAGTCTACTACTATTCTTTTTTGTATTTTAAATTAGTTATGTATTTTAACACAAAATTTCATCAATTCAAAAACACTACATCTGTTGTTTAACTTTATTGTGATTTTATTTGATTAAGATTTCACACAGGCTCAATTTTTTTTCTGTCATAAGAACCTCAGATTTCGTTCTGGCTTGAAAACAAAAAACAAAAAAAACATGAGGTTATTAAGGCCTTGACTGGGTCAATAGTTGACACCATACTTGATTTTGAAGCTCAAAGAGTGCGGGAGCAAAAAAACAACAACAAAAAAAACAGTTTTGAAAATGGTCCCTCCTTTAAAAGTTTAGTATGCATTTAATTCTTAACAGGGCTTAACAACTTCAAAACTAACCATAGATATTTAGCTTTAAAACAGTAAGCCACCAGTGTCCACCTGCGAACCAAACTCACTTTGCCATTTGCTTATCAGCCACTAGAAGAGGTTTCTGTTTCTTCCTTCTATCCATCCTTACAAAGTCTATTCTTTTGGTTTCATCCCTGATCTCTGAGCTGATGTCTCTCTGTGAGGTCTTTTGTCAGGCAGCAAGGCTAATCTTACACTCTGAGCCTGTGATCCGTGATCCAGTGGAGAACAAACAGCAGAAAGCTTACCCAAACTTCATAGATAAAGAGTTCTATTTTCTGCAACCAAAATGATCCAGATGAAGGGTGATATTTACAAAATGATTCCATCTGATGCTAATTTTTCAACCTATGTAAGCGTGACTCTCTCAGTGTTTCAGTCATCAACTGTCTCTGTCTCTCTGTGAGCTTTTCCTCCAATTCCGTCACCTGCAAGTGAGTGCAGCATCATGATGAGTTTTCTTTTTAGTGATTATCACTAATGTGCGAGTCAGGAACATTCAGCAGGAAACCCTCCATCTTAATTGACACCACTCTGCTGTTTTTGCCTTTACCTGCACTTTAAGGACAAGTTCGGCGTTCTGTGAAATTAGTTCCTCTATTTGTTTCTGCAACTCAGCGACTGATCCCGGGTCTGCGGGAGCAGGAGACGGGCCGGGTGAGACTGCATCCGTTTGTGAAGAGGCTTCGTCCTGGGCAGGGGACGCTCTAGAGCGCTTGGAGAGCAGCTTCTCTGCAGGGAACATTCGGGAGAGACCAAAACAAAAGTGAATCAATGGACTTATAGACGGGTCTGAATGCAGGGAAGTCTAGCCATGTTCCATTCCTAGAATGGGAACGTTCTCAGGACTGTATACCAGGGAAGTCCAGCATTTCATCCATGTCCTCTGAGTCACTGGCCCCAATCCCATGAGCCCCCTTCAGCTCCTCCAGCAGCTTGTCCCTCTCAGCCTCTGCCTCCTTCAGATGCTGCTTTAGTTGAGACAGCTATTGTGCACACGTATAACTGGAGATTAGAACTAATTCTTATTATTTCGTTCATGAATAAAATTGACTGATTCAGCAATAAAAGCAGAAGAAAGTGCTTTTCTCTAAAAGTCTGTACCTCCTCCAGGGCAGATAGGGCGCTCTGCTGCTGCTGCTCCAAGGCCTTAATCTTCTGGAGCAGGCGCCCTCTCTCCAGACGCAGCCGTCGGATCTCCTCAAACACTTCCTCATCCTCTGCCTAATCCGCACACACAACCACGGAAATCAGAGACACAATTTCATGCAGTGTGAGGACCAAAGAAATCATAAAAGTGTAGTAAAAGTAAAGCTTTACCTGAGATGACTGCTGAGTTCCAGGGGGCTGGGGAGATGGAGATTGGGATTTCTGGGGCTCAGGGGATTTGGCAGGGAGAGCTGGACTTGAAGGCTTTTCAGATCCTCCTGAGAGGTCCTGGATCTTTGGGATTGGAACAAGAACAAAAAGTGTCAATGGAGAGATGACACCGCCAAACAAATGTTTACCAAAGGAATATCCATATTCTTTATCTGTAGATAAAGAATATCTTTGTCTGGTTTTGTCTTAGGTAAAAAGTCAGCAAATGACAACAACAGGGTGACTATACCTACTTAAATTTGCCGACATCTGTAATCAGACCTTTCAATCACAGAGGAGACTGCTAAAGAAAATAATAATAATAATAATAATAATAATAATAATAATAAATCATTTCTAAAGCTCTCCGCTAGAGAACTGTGCAGAATGTTGAATATTGGGTTGACTCATTCTCCACAGCAACTATGCTGCCTATCACAATTGATTGTTTGGGAGATATAGCAACAAGAAAGCCTTTTTGTTCCTACTACCAATACTTTAGACATGCAGAGTTTGCAACATTGCTTACTGTTTAGCATGGTGTAGGAGGTGTAATGATGTGGGACTATTTCTCTTCCAAAAGGTTTAGGTTTTGAGGACCTTGTTGGATTGAATGACATAATGAATTATTTGAAATAAAAGGACAAAAAAAAAAAAACCCTGCTGGTCTGTGCTAGAAACTGAAAATGGTTTGATGTTGGTCGTCCAGCAGGATATTGATCCAAACAGAAATAGCTCACTAGACACAAAACAATTAATTTCCCATGACTAAGTGTCAGAACTAAATCCTATTGAAAACATGTAGTGAGAATTAAAGAAATGTACGCATGAGAAAAGACCTTTAGGAGTCTGGATGATCTAGAGATTCGTAGGAATAATGAAATGTTGTGTGAAATGTTATTAGAAAACACTAAGTGCTGCCCTTTTGGCAAAACATTATATACTAGCAGCAGAAATACCAAAAATTAAGGTACACATACTTTAATAATCATCCAAAACATATTTCTGATTTGAAATAAAAGATTAATTTATTTAAATCTGTACTGTGGGTGACATAACAGTAGATAGCAAGGTGACAAGATGAATGTACATTAAGGCTGAGAACTATAAATGCAAAAATACTTGCCATCTACTGAAATGATTTTTATAGTACCTGGAGAGGAGAGCGAGGCGGTGGAGGAGCTTTCCGTTTTCGGGGGGTTGTCCCCCCTTGCACTGATGAAGCGGCTGAGGGGATTTGAATGGGCTGTGTGGAAGTGAGAGGGGGATCACAGACAAGCAGAGGTCAAGCTGAACTTAAAATAAGAAACAGAACAGACGAAAACCCAAGATAACAGAAGGGGTAAAGAGGAGAGAACGCCATGAAGATGAAGGCAGCACACTGAAACAATGACTTCATATTGGAAACATGCGCAATATGATGGGCCAAAATAAGTCATAGTCTCATAGATGGAAGCAGTGATGCAACACACAACTATGCAATATTACCTCCTCGCCTGCGCTCTCAGAAGCTACGTGAGCATTGAGGGAAAAGACACAGTGAGCTAAATGTAAGAGATACATTGAAATGAAATGAAAACATGGCAAATTTTCCCCTGCCACCAGTTCTTCCATTGTTGTCTGGGCTTGTTGATGAATCTCAAAGTAAATCCACCAAATTAAGACATTATTTTGTGGTTAGGCTTAATGTGCACATCAAATCTTCTTCATTATCATGACCCATTTGTTTTTCATATGCGTACACAATCTCACTGGGCAAAATGTTGTTGTTTTTTTCACTCTAGTCTATAAACACACCCAGTTGTGCTCCTCATCAAACAACTACAGCTACTTTCTGGGGAAGCATTATGTAAGACGAATAAATGGTTCAGTTAGCTTCACAGGAGAGCCTGTGTAACTTTTCAGGAAAAGAAATTTATCCACTTAAAAAAAAACAAAACAAAAAAAAAACAAGAATGACACAAAACACCCAGAAGGCCTTGTTTTGTACCTGGGGGTACTCCATCCTGCAACATGCGAACAATGCATTGGTTGCCTGTAGTTATGGCATAGTCAGCAGCTTTGTGGCCAAGTTGGTCAACCAGTTGTGTCCTTGCGCCCCCTCTCAGTAGAGCCGCTACAGTCTCGACACTTTCACTCTCACAGGCGAGCATCAATGCCGACCTGACCATCAAGAAGCAGTCATTAGAATAATAAATACCAGTGTTCGATAATAGTTCACTCAAAAAAGAAAGTCCATTATATTTACAAAAGCCGTCTGAAATTTTTTCTTCATCTATGATGATTGTCTTTGCTGCGCAAATATTTGAAATTAGAAGATATAATTTAATTTGATATCTGAATTTATTTCAAGAACTTCCACTTGGCGTTTCAGAACCTGCCTTTGGGGGAAAACAGTGAGAGCCTGTGATCCCAGCTGGATCATAAACACGCAACTAGTGCAGTATTTTCTAAAACTTGGGAGCTCTCCGTGCATCCTGAGTCTGACTGCTAAGAGAATAAATATAGAAACATATGTCATTTATTACTACTGCAACAAATTCTTTACTGTTGTAGAAAAAAAATCTGAGCAACAATGTACCTCCCCTGGTTGTCCTGCGTGTTTGCATTGGCACCTCGACCCAAAAGAAAGACACACAGCTCCACTCTGCTCATCTGGGCCGCAAGGAGCAGCGGCGTGGCTCCGTCCTGAAAAAGACGTCATTCAGCCATCACCGAGGGCATTCCACTCTTACAACAACCAAACAACACATAACGTAGCTAGAGTCGTCAAACTTACATCGTCCTGGACATCAAGGTTGGCTTTAAAGTCCCACAGTGTCTCAGTGCTGGACAAACAGCCACTGATCGCTTTACGATCCAATAAAAAAATAAATAGAATAAAATAAAAGAATAGCATAGAACAGCTTCTGCAATGTTACTACACTGTATGATTCAATCAACTGGTATCAGCATCTTATAATTCCTAGATGCAAAGCTATGATAAGAAACTCTAAAGAAGAATTTGATATTTGCAGATGACACTGATGGTACCTGCATGATGGAGTGGTGTCCTGCCAATGCTGTCTGTGCAATCTACCGCCAGTCTCTCCTAAGGCGCCACACAAAACACCAAACAATCAAATTTAGCAACTTTTTTTTTTTTCTTTGCATGATCTGGATCAGATACAGTGTCGCTGATTTTTACCTGCAGCAGTCGCTTTAAACACTCGTGCTGACTATTTTTGGCTGCAAGATGAAGTGCGCTGAAACCTGTAGTCAGCAGGTTGCAAACAGAAAATAAAAATGTATGTTTGCATATCTGGCAGAGGCTATTCTTAGCTTAAAGGAGCATGATCGCATAATCAGACATCATACCAGCTCCGTCTGTGACACCGACGTCAGCTCCATGAGATATGATCACCTCCAGGCAATCTAGTCTGCCTCGAGATGCACAGAGGTGGAATCTGGCAGAAGATATACTAACAAGTCAATACGAATGAGAAGAATGCAGCTGGTTTTTACTGATATTTCTTGTCTTGATTCTGTTTACCAAATATTTTCAAGCCAAAATGAAGGCATATTTTAGTCTCTACGTTACAAGAAAGACCACAGGTATATTTGAAACTGATAACATTAAAGTATTAAAATTAAACTATAGAGGTTGTGCATGACAAAAGATGAGCTTTCTATAACTCTTGATAAAAATGTGTCTTCACTCTACTTAGGTGACATCATGAGGCAATTAGTAGCACTAGATTCTACTCAGGGGTATCAGATTAAAGAGAATAGACTTTTCAGATTTTATTTTGTAAAAACATTTGAAAACTATAAACACTGTGTTGTTCTAATACAGAAAATACCAATCATAGTCATCATAATAATTAAAAAAACACACTACAGTTTGTGTTGGTAAAATTCCAAAATGGGAAAAAGTTTTGCGAGGGAAAATCATCTGGAATGATTCCTGATAATAAAGAGGAAATCGTGTCTCCAAGTTAATGTTCCTAAAGAAGACATGTTTCATGAGCAAATGGCCATGCAGTAAAGAGTGAATTAAACTTGTGCACAAAAGCTTATCTCAAAAAAGTTTTCTTTTTTAGTAGAAAAATTATTTGAGCTTAGGTAATTATGTTTTTTCTTGTTTCTTTTAAAAATATCAACAGCTTTAATAAATAGTGCTAATAAGCTAAGACTAAGTAAAACAATAAACACCTACAGCAAAATTTCCAGCATTTGTAAAGATAAAAATGTCCAACTTACGCCGACTTGCCCTCAGCGTCCAGCTTGGTTGGACAGAGACCTTTTTTGACAATGAGGGCAGTGACTTTGTCAGGTTCATTCTGCTCCACAGCCTGCAGCAGCCTCTCATCACTCTTGCTCCAGTCTTGACTCTATGGGCGAGGGAGCCAAAACAAAATTTCACCACCCTCCAGGTCAGCACAGCCCCAATGAAAACTGAGAACCCACTTTATACAGTGCCAGCTAGAAGTTTACATATACTCATTAGTGGCATGGATGCCGTAAGTTTAATATTAGCCTTCCTTCACCATTCGAAAAACAATTTTGGTGTATTTTTGGAGTCATTGTCACATTAAAACACCCAACTGTGTCCGAGTTTCCCTCACCTGACCAGAACAACCATCTCCGATGAAAGGAAATTGGTCAGGATAGAACAACTAAGAAATCGCCAAGGTTCAAGTCTGCCATAAACTCCAAGATTTTGGAACGCCAGTGTATACACTGTGTAAGAAGGTCAGTACGCGTCACCATGGGTTGAAAGAATGATGACATGGAAATAGGCAACATCTACCATGACTGAAACTTGCAGTTGCCCTCCTATACAAGTCCATTACCATTCACAGAAATATTTCACAGTCCAAGGGAACAAATATGGAGCTATTTGCCCACATTTGTTTGGGCAAATAGCTCAAACAACAGTGCAGTACATTTTGAAAGAGTCAAGGCAAGGCTTCTGAAACTCAGAACATTACACCCACTGTCATGTTAGTGATAGCCGCTTCATAGTATGGGCGTTAGCCAGGGATTACTTTGCACATTGCGAATGACGTGACTTTGACATGGCTGGGTGTTCCAGCAGAAAAATGATCCAAAACTCACACTAGAAATGGTTTTCAAATGGATGAAGCAGAGCAATGGTGAGCTTATGGAAAGGGATTTTTCAGATTGTGGTCCAAAGCTAGACTAGTTCAAGAACCCTAAATTAATCCAAATGAGTTCTTGTACTTCTGAGTAAAAGAGTAATCAAAGATATAGCTAGTTATATGGCAGTATTGATGGCTGAAAAAAGTGCATGGTCAGGGTTCAACTTACTCAGTGACGAAATACCAAATGTTAATATGAAATGTGCTATTTTGACTGTCTAAATTATAGAAACCGATAAGTGAATGTAAAATTTTGCACTAGATTTGTTTCTCGTGCGAGAGAAGTTACTAAATTACTTTTAAAATCATGCCGATGATGAGTGTATGTAAATACCCAACCAGCCCTGTATCTCTCAACATTCAACACTGTTTTAGAAGATGTTGTTCATGTAAAAAATAGTTCCAGCGCTAATCATTGAGATATGTTATAGAAAGCAAAAAAAAAAAAAAAAAAAAAAAAATTACAAGCAATTTTTTTTTAAAATTTTTTAAAAAAAGAAAAAAAGG